CCAGATTGGAGTGCAGTGGCCGCTCCCGGTCACCGCAGCCTCAACCTGCTGGGCTCCGGCGATCCTTCCGCCTCAGCCTTCCGACTAGCTGGAACTACAGGTGTGCGCTACCACGCCCGGCTAATTTTTTTTTTATTGTAGAAATGAGAGTTCGCCAAGTTGCCCGGGTGGGTCTCGAACTCGCGGGCTCTGGCAATTCACTCCCCTGGGCCTCCCAAAGTGCTGGGGTTACAGGCTGAGTCACCGAGCCCGGCTCATACTGTTGTTTTTAGTGCCCTCCATACTCTGTTCCCAAACTAGTTCCCCAAATACATCTTCCACAGGAGCACTCCAGCACGCCAGGCACTGCACATTAGCCACATTAGGCCACTCACATTCCCTAGCTCTCTAAGTACTCCGAGACTTCGGGTGTCTTTGCATTGATCTCCCCTCCACGCTCTGCTTGGAATATCCCTTCATCCTCCAAGAATCAATCAAAATACTTTCTCCTCTGTGAAACCTGAATTTCTTGTTCTTCTCTATTGTCACAACATGATATCCTTTACTCTTTAGCTCTTACATCACTTGTCCTGGTTTTATGATTAGTTATTTATATATTGCTCCCCATAGATGTTAAGCTTCTTGAGGGCTGGATGCATGCGATCTTCATGTTTATAGCCTTCACTGGATATGATGCATAATTCCTTAATAAACACATTCGTATTGATATGAGCCCTCTGATGTTTACTGCTGTTGTGTCCACTCACATGGCACTCATTTACTGCCTAGCTGTTCAGCTCTTTGTGTACGCTTCTTAGGTCACCAGGAAATGAGGAACTTGGTCATGTTCACCTTCGTAGTTCCACCTCACCTATCACAGTCTTGCAGCTACCAAGTGTACATGAATGACTGAAGGGTTTTAAAAACTGCATTTTTGAGTACCAGAAACCAAACTACTAGGCAAGTTTACTATTCAAATCTCACCACTTTATATATCTCCTCCTGATAGTTGTCATATCCTACTACTTAGAGTATCATTCCCCACAGAATGTCTTTTTTTTGTTTTGTTTTGGTTTGGTTTTGGTTTTTTGGGGGTTTTTTGAGTTGGAGTCTCACTCTGTCGCCCAGACTGGAGTGCAGTAGCCACTCCGGGCCACTG